AGTAACGTGAGGAAATAAATAGTAATGTCAATTTATATAATGGAATCTTTTTCTTAACTGCCGTTTTAAAGAAACATAGCAGTAGATAGAGCAGAGTCAGCGTTACTTAGGTTGGACTATGAGGGACATCTACGTTAGGACTAAGGATGCCTACACGGAAGGACTAAGGATGCCTAAGGCTTTATCGTGTTTATAACTCCTTGTATTAGCTTGTGGAAAGGCTGCAAAACACTAGAGCAGCGTAACATGTGCCAGCATATCTTTCGAAACTAAAAACATGCTTGTTGTCAAATGTTCTCGCCTAACTTTAGACCAGGGGTCTCCAAACTTTCCAGCCTTAGAGCCATACTGTTTAGTCCAGTATGTACCAAGGGTAAGTAAAACCGTTTTAGTAAGTTTTTTTTTCTGCCATTATCTATAATTTCTAGACTAGTCGCCGAGTACGCGCTCTCAGCGAGCACACGCTTGCTAAATTCACTGGTTCAATTACTACAATTACTATTGTGTATATCGATACGACCGTGACACTTGACGACATCCAGTGGTTAAAAGCGGAAATAGGTAAGTATAACTACAGAGGGTAATCGCGGGATGTTCACTAGTTTATAATGTTAGGGGGTTTCATTTCAATTATTTGTTAGTTGTTATGCTTAACTTAAATTTTCTGCGTATTATGCCGGTCATTAAGTTTTACCTAGCAAGTCAATAAAACCAAGTTATTATCATTATGTGTTTTTTTATCCAACTTATTACAGCAACCATAAACTATTCGCTGTCGCAGGCCGGATTGATGATACTGGCGGGCCGTAGTTTGGAGACTTCTGCTTTAGACAAATCGTCAAAAAGAGAGTATTAAGTAGACAACGCGTGGAAACGCTCATCGCTAAATCACATGATTTAACAAGTGCGGGGGATTAGAGATGATTATTATGCAATATCTTTCTTAACTGTAATCCCAAAGAACCATAGCAGTAGATAAAGCAGAGCCAGCGTTACTTAGGTTGGACAACGAGGGACATCTATGTAACAGGAAGGACTTGACTTTGATGCCTACGGATTTATCCTGTTTATAACGACTAAAGTCCGATTTGGGGCCCAGTGGTAAAGTGCGCAGATAGGGTGCAGTAGGGGTCAAATTCGAATCCACTGGTGGTGTCTAATCACTACATTCAGAAACGAGGAGCCTTGATGGAAATTGTGACAACTTGTATAAAGAGTCTCGCATTAATAATCATATTACCTATGGGAGGTTTCTGGGTTTTCTCCTTACGACATGTAAATGTAGGGATTTAGTCCCAAAAGGCACTAGCGGTCTGATGGCCAATTGGGTAGCGTTCTGGCCATTGGCATCACAGGCTTCAGGTTCGAACCCTGGTGGTGGTATGGATGTTTGTTAGTGGTGCTAAATCCACTTTAAACTGTAGATCCAAGTCTGTTTGGTCCTCGTGTGCACAAGATGACCGTAGCGACAAACCAAAGGCAATAGCATCTCGCATCGGTGGATTGGTTATGATAAGTGGAACATGAGAGCCACTGGCATCCAACCAAAACTAAATATTTGTTATATGTAGGCAATGAACTTTCATTTTAGCATCGCATTTTGGGTTTAAACAAAAGACCCTTAATTCAAAAATCCAACATGTAATCAGTCTACCGGGTCGTTAGAATTGTTGTTCATCATTACATAACTATTCAGTAAAATCCCGTGTTAAAAAATGTATTTATTATACATAGAAACTAGTTTGCTTTAAATCTCAGCATTCAGATGTTGCCCAATCTAACTCACTTTCTTTTATATCCTTTTACCTTCACATTTTTACCTTCTTCCCACAAGAGATTCCTTCATTATTATGATATACTATTTCACGGAAAAGATTTTACAATGTTCTTGTTATTGGTTAAACTGTCAATCAAGAAAAGATTGGGCAATGCTTTTAGGAAGAACTGGTTTGTATTTTGTTTAGCTAGAAATGCTTGCTCTTGATCTTTATAATGATCCGGGTCTTAACGTTTCTGAGAAATTTTTCTTTCGCATTGAATAAAACCTTTTGTTCTTGTCAAATTGTTTAAGACTTGTGGTTAAGAAAAAATTATTTTCTGAAAAGCACTATAACATTGAAATTTTTATGCATTAATTATTCTTGCAGTGTTTTTTTTTTATTTTGGTATGATTAATCCTTTGAAATAGATTAAATTAAATGCCAAATTCACTTCTATTCGACGAGATTGTTTTATTACGAATGTGTGAAATACTACTGTGTCCAAAAAATAAGACCAATTTTCAATTTAAAATTTCCGGAGCATCATGGATTTTTTTTCTTTCTTTTTTAAGGTTTCTGGCACTGTCCTTGACATCTGTGTGAAATTTGACGTCAAAATATTCATTAGTGTTTGAGTTACACTTGGCTTTGTAAGTCGCTAAAACTGATTCAGGCGATTTTTTAAATGTCTGAACTTGCATTCAATTTTGTTTACGGAAACGTATAGAATGTGCAGAAGGCATTCTGTCAGCATTCCCATATCGGAAAGAAATGTTTATAATTGGTATAAACAGTTCAAAGAAGGCAGAGAACACGTTGAAGAAGAAGAACCCTCTGGTCGACCCTCAACTTCAACCGACGAAGCTCACATCCAAAAAATTAAAGATTTGGTGCATGCAAACCAATTTACGATTAGAGTGCTGATGATGTTGGAATTTCAAAAGGATCGATCAATTCCATTTTGGGCTCAAACGCGTCAAATCTCAATTGGTACCGAAAACACTGAATGCGCCAAATCACACTGCATTGATTCTTCGTGACTTTTTCGCCAAAAATGAAACCCATATAGTTCCACAACCCCCGTATTCACACCGTGCGACTTCTGACTATTCCCCAAACTCAAGGGATCACTCCGGGGACACCGTTTTGAGTCGATTGAAGAGATTCAGCGTGAATCTCTGCTAGCTTTGAAGGCTATCCCGGCCGATGACTTTTTAGCATGCATTGAGGATTGGAAAAAAAGTTGGCATCAGTGCATTGTGTCCGGAGGGGATTAGTTTGAAGGCGATGAAAAAAATTTGGAAGTATAAGTGAAGAGTTTTTGAAAAAAAAGTAATTGTTCTTACTTTTTGGTCCCAGTAGTAGATTAAATTAAATACAAAATTCATTTCTATTCGACGAGAGTGTGTTATTACGAAAAGGTGTGAAATAGATTAAATTCAATGCCAAATTCAGTTCTATTCGAAAAGAGTGTTTTATTACGAAAATGTGTGAAATAAATTAAATTCAATGCCAAATTCACTTCTATTCGACTAAAGTGTTTCATTACAAAGTCGAAAGCTAAAATTGCAATTATTTTAATTAAATTATTGCTAACATTAATTTTCTAAAATTATTATTAATTTTACTGAAGTAAAAAAAATTCTTATCCTTTTTTTCATCCTTTACACTTTTAACATATCGTCCTATGAATATATTTAATTCGTTGTCCACTTTACAATAAGAGCATCACTTCAGTAAGTCAATGTCGGCCAACCAATAAAAAGTGTTACAGCAAAAGAAGAATTGACATTTCCAGACTCTAATTATAAAATTCTTTATATTAACTAATATTCTATTAACTCTTTCTTGTGAGTTTATCTTCCTCCTCGAATCCAACTATACAGATTTTCTGACCTACTGATCTAGAGAACCTGCCAACAATGTAAACACGGGAATTTTCGGTTGGTCTCTCTTGTCATAATAAATTTATTTAATTCTGTCAATAATAATTGAATAATAAATAATTTGTTAAATTTGCTTAACTGTCAATAATATTATCAATTTATTCTGTCATAAATTATTTTTTTATTTTCCCTTCACATCTTAAAATTGTTTATAAAGCCATATTCAGTAAGTAGACGATATTTTATAACTTTATATTGTCTGATTTTAAAATATATTGCAGGAATGTAATGTCTTTAAATTCATAGAATATTAATACTGATTAGAAATTATGTAGCTTGACTGTTTGGTAGTAGACACCGTTTAAAAAATTGAGGATATTCGACGGCTTTTGTGATGCCTCGTAAGTCGGACTACCTGGTGGGAGTTTTCCGGGTTTTCTCCCATAAGCAAATGCTGGTAGATTGCTCTAAATATCCTCTCTGAAGACACTGCCCTCCTTCTTCAACGCCACGAAGCCATGTCAGACTTCAACCTGCGGGTGCTCCATCACAACAGAAGCTGTCCCCGCCCCTTCCTTCCATGAGATTTTCTTGGGGTTCTTGGACTTGGTCTAGATGTTGTTGTCTACCAAGTGAGATAAGAAATAGAAATGATGTTAAGAAGATACATAATAATATACTCTTTTTTTAAAATAAAACCTTCATTTCATTTTTAAAATGATAAATGGATTATGGCAAGCAAGTCCAACTGAAAATTCCTATGTTTACATTATTGATGGGCTCTCTAATCAGTAAGTCTGAAAGTCTGTATGACTGAGTTCGAGGATGACTCGCTCGCCCAACTGTCGATGGCAGACACTTCACACACGTCACAATCTCCACTGAGTACCCTTATTTCTGAAAATAGGGACTGCAATGGACGCCACCTGTGGATTCGAACCGTGAACCATCCTGCATACTAGCTACATACATTACCACTAGGCCATGAGTTGGGTTACCACTGCAATTTAAAACGAAGTGTTCCATCTAAGGAATTCTTACTTTCTTCTTCTCTCGACCCAGGAGTAGGACTTTACAGACTACTACTACTACTAGTACTACTACTACACCCCACCACATCAATGTGCCTAGAGCTGAGCTGCCCCTTTGTATTTTGGGAATGATGTGGGTGAGAAGAAGTCTGATTAGACTCTGATGCTCTACGGTCATATGAGACCGGGACCTACGGCTTAAAGTGGATTTGGAACCTCTACAAACATCCATGGCACCACCAGGATTCGAACCTGAAACCTGTGGTACCGAGCGCCAGAGCGCTAGTCACTCGGCCATCAGGGCCCCCAAATTTTTTGAATGCAAACAGCACGCGGTATTCCCAGGTAGTAACCCTCCCAAGTACTGACCGCGCCCGACGATGTTTGACTGTGGTGATCGAACGAGAGCCTGTATATTCAGCATGGTATGGCCGTTGGGTGAACTTTTCAGACTACTGATTTATCATCGCATCTCCGGCATATCCATGAGAGCTGTCTGTTCGTTAACTCAATGCGCTATCCCCTTCTCAAAACTCCGGCCATGCAAAATTTTTGACATATATAATTCTGTGGAATAAATGAATATTTCATCTAAACGGTTTTTCATATAACATTAACCCTGGGCCCATTGGAATTTTTGAAAATGGCCCTGAAATATGATCAGTATTGTTTTGAATGAAGAATTTGCATCCGTTCCTATTCTGACGAATCAGGTCTTTCGATTTCGCTTTAATGATAATCTTTAAAGTTACCATTTTTCTTTTCTTTTGTTGATCTACTTCAAAGGTAATTTTTCATTCAAGGCCATATGCACTAAGCGATTCGGTCTGGGGTGGTCCAGGCCCCAAGCGAAAACCAGGTTGTTAATTAACCAAATTATAAAATATCTGTCACGCACGTGGATCGCAGGCATTGCTCTCCCGAAGGGCACCTTAGATGCCCTTGGGGGAAAAGAACAGGATACGGATTGTCCCAAGAATATTTTTCATCCATCATAATAACATGCAAATATTTAAGTGACAAAACGCAACCGATGTAATTGCATTTGCATTGGAACCCGAAAACAAATAGTAGAGCTTTGAATTCCACAACAGTGGCGATGGTCAGTTACTGCAATGTTAAATTCAAAATTTCCACTTCTTCAAGTAAGATCTAATTATACGTAATATTCATACAGAATATCAAGGTTACAAGCTAGAATATCGTCCTTTAACACTTTAGTTTCACTTTTATAGTTGTTGCGGTTGTAATGCAATGGCAAAGACAATTGCAATATCAAAATAATTCCCAAGATAATAAAGTGAGAAGCTGGAGTGCTGGAAGACTCAGGTTGGAATCCTTTGGCTGCATTGTTGTAGTCACTGCTTTCAGAACTCGAGGGCGATTGGGACAATGTGTATAAAGCATCTTGTATTGATTGTCAATCTGCTTGGTGGGAGTTTTTTGAAGTTTTCTCCCATAAAATACGCAAATTCGGTGCACTAAAAAGTCCACCAAAGTGGCACTGTCTTCCCTTCATCCATCGTTAGTTAGCTGCTATCCATATACAAGTGGAAAGTGAGGCCCACCGATGTTAAACAAATTTAAAAAATCTTCTGTTGAAGCTTGTAGGTTTTTGGAACTGAATATCATGAATTCAAAGACCAATGAACTATTTGGAATCCATTGGCTCCATTGTTTGGTCACTGTTTTTAGAAACGGGGGGGACTCGATGGCGATTGTGACAATGTGTATAAAACATCTTGTATTGATAGTTAGTCTGCTTGGTAGGAGTTTATCGAGTTTTCACCCATACGATACTCAAATTCGGAAGCAATTTGCCACTAAAAATTCTTCTGGGAAGGTACTGTTCCTAGTCAGTGAGCTGTTCGTAATATGCATGAGTGGAAAATGAGGCCCACCGATGTTTGACAAAAAAAAATTCTGTCGAAGCTTGTTGGGTTTTTCGAACTGAACATCAAGAGTTCAAAGGCCAATGAACTATTTGGAATCCATTGGCGGCATTGTTGTAGTCACTGCTTTCAGAAACGAGGGAATTCAATTTCGATTGTTACAATGTGTATAAAGCATTCTGTACTGATAGTCAATCTACTTAGTGGCAGTTTCTAGGGTTTTTTTCAAATACGTCACGCAAATTCGGAGCAATTGTCACTAAAAAGACCGCCAGGAAGTCTTCAACTCAACCATGTCTGACTATCGTCAGTGAGCTGTTCGTGGTATATAGGAATGGAAAAGGAGATCCACTGATATTAAAAAAAATAGTTCTGTCGAAGTTTCTTGGATTTTTCGTACCAAATACCATGAATTCAAAGTCCAATAAACCACTCATTTTCCACTCATGTATACTCATATACCCACTCAAGTGTACCTCAAGGGGTCTAAAATATATTTAGATACTGACATTTAGTTTTCAAAATTTCCTTTATTTATGTCATCTCTGAAATCAATACTGAAATTACACTGTCAGTGGGCTGTTTGCGGTATGCATGAGTGGAAAATGAGGCCCACCGATGTTAAAAAAAAAAAAAATGGTGAAGCTTGTCGGATTTTTTGAACTGAACATTATGCATTCAAAGTCCAATGAATTATTTGGAATCTATTGGCTACATTGTTGTAATCACTACCTTCAGAAACGAGGGGGCACTTGATAGAGATTGTGACAATGGGTACAAAGCATCTTGTATTGATAGTCAGTCTGCTTGGTGGGAGTTTTTCTTGCTTTTCTACCATACGACACGCAAATTCGGAGCAATTGCCATTAAAAGACTTACAGGAAGACACTGTCGTCCCCTCATCAATTGTTAGTGAGTTGTTCACCGTATACGGGAGGAAAATGAGGCCCACCGACAAACGTTGCATAGAAAAAAAAAATGTTACAAAACCTGACAAGCTACTTTAAGCTTGTCAGGTTTTTCGAACTGAACATCATGAATTCAAAGGCCAATGAACTATTTGGAATCCATTGGAGGCGTTGTTATAGTCACTGCTGTCAGAAATGAGAGGACTCGATGGCGATTGTGACAATGTGTATAAACCATCTTGTATTGATTGTCAGTCCGCTTGGTGGGAGTTCCTCGGGTTTTCTCTAATATGACACGCAAACTTGGAGAAATTGCCATTAAAAATACCTCCATGAAGGCACTGTCTTCTACTCATCCCTCGTCAGTGAGCTGGAGCTGTTCGTAGTTGTACATAAGTAGTTCGATTCACAAGGCAAGATACTGAACATCCCAAACGGCATCGAGTCTCTTCGTTTTTTGAAACAAAGCCGCCAGAGGATTAAACCTCCGCCCTAATGCTCACCAGCGGCGCACGTTGCCCTGAGTCGGGTTTCTTTTATTCTAAATTTGCTTACAAATAAAACATATATCCTATAAGAATAGCAGTACAAATTAGCAAAGTGTCATAAAATAATAGATCATACGTATAATAATAGGCATCATAATAATAATAGATATCATCTTATATAATAATAGGTCATCATAAAATAGCTTAAGACAAGCAAAAGAAAATTTTACATTCTAAGCAAAAAAAGCTATATTTGTAATACATTAAACTTTTTTTTCTTTAACAATTTGTCATTAGAAAAGATTATCCTTAATCTTTAACCTTAAAAATTATTATTAACCTTAAAAATTTCCAAAAAATTCGAAATTCTTGTAAATAAATTAGCTTGCTATATGTGTACGAATCATTAATTAACATTAGCCATCTATAATTAACATTAGATTTATCGATTTAAATTCACGACACACGAATTTATAATTTGTAGATGGATAGTTTGTCCTAATAATAGTTTGTCCTAATAATAGTTTATCCTAATAATAGTTAATAAATTAGTTTTAAATGTGATTATATAAATCCACTACATACTTTTTTAAATGGGCCTTTTTTATATCATATCTTCTAAAAAGCATGAAGTAAGCTATAATGCATCAAATATTATATAATTCTAAAATTAATACGATTCTATCAAATGTTTCAGCTTACTTTTTTAATTTTAGAAATTCACAAATATTTAATTACTAATTCTAAATAAAAAAAAAAAAAAAACTTTTTATCTTTCAACAAATAAAGTGTAACCAATGTATACAAATGTTTTCCATTATTTTTCTTCTAGAAGTTATATACTAAAATAAATGTAACAGCAATTTCTAATTTATTAATTAACAAAAAATATATTTTTAAAAATTTGTTTATGAAACTTAAGATTTTCATTTAGCTTTTACTTTCATTTCATTTCTATATTTCTTTTTTTTAACTAATTTTTTTGTAAATAAATAAGCTTATTAAGTTCTTTAATTAACATTAATCATCTATAACTCTAGATTTTTTTTATTTAAATTCTTAACACACGAATTTATAATTTGTAAATGGGCAGTTTGCCCAACTTAACAAATTATTTAAATTCATTTTTTCTTTTCGATATTTTTATTTTTTATTTTGTCATTCTCTTTTCAAAAGCACCTGGTATAAAAGAAAATATTATTCGAATACAAAATAGCAGATGCAGAAACCATTGTTACAAACTAAATTAAACTTTCTGAAACCGGATATATTATTCATCAAAAACATAAACGGAAATCTTAAATGATTTTTATTTTTTGCAAGGCAGGAACAATGCAGCACTAAAAACAGAACACGATTTTTAAAATTAAAGATCAATTCTTGGATTTCCCGTCTTCCATTTAATTCTCTTTTTATAATCGTCTGCAAAATCTTTCTTCACTTCCTTCCTTCCTTCTTAATAATAACAAAAATAAAAGATAAATAAATAAACCTCATTGCATAACCTTCAGGCATTGAAAAGGTGAACTTAGTTTTTGCTTATAAAGCAAACCAACAATTCGTCTTTCCAGTTTTGGAAGTTAATAACCAAAACAAAGCAAGTCCTGATTGCTATGAGCGGTGGCAACTTGAAATAGGGCGTGAATATCTTATTATTTTTTTTTTTTTTTCGTGTAGTTTAGGTATATAGAGGTAGGCAAGTCTCATCTTCAAGCCAATCTGACGTGAAGAGGGGAAAAAATCACAGTGGTCAAGGTTACAAGCCAGTGATGAATCTCTTGAAATAAAACAGCAGCAACAAAAAAAATAAAGTATCGTTTGTCAGTCAGATTTACTTATATATAAGTGGCAACTTACTTTTCACTCAAATAGAAGATTATCAAAATGAATTCAAGACGTATAAGCTGTGTTCTCTGCTTTTTGAGTTTCTTAGCTTTGATTTATGGTAAGTGAGAAATTTATTAAAAAATAATTATATTCTGTACTAAACATAATATATTAATAAGTAATTATTAAGTTCGTGGAATATTTTTTCGAAATGCATTTTTTGTTGATTAAGAATGATTAATTTTATAATTAGAATTTTTGTTGAATGAGAATGATAGAAGAATGATTGTTTTTAAGTATTTTAATTAGAAATTCTTTAA